TTTTTATTTCTCTACAGTTGCATATGCTTTATGACTCATTATTTTAACTGCTTTGAGTGTTGCAAAAGAAGTTTAAAGTTCAAAAATTTCTCAAGTGTAGCTATTGATTGAGCTATTAAAAACAGCACTTGACCTCTGATATTCTTTTGTTAGAGCTTATATGCTTTATGGTAATCCAAAATCTGAATAGTGAAAAGATTTGATTTCTGACTGATTTGTCCAAACATGGACAAGTTTACAGCTTTACAACCACAAGAACATAAAGGAGGGACTGAAAAATTATAATAAAATGGAAAATAAATGAATAAATAAATAGAAGAAAATAAAAAAAAGCATGTGCTATGTTTTATTTGTATATAGAGAGGAGCCATATTCTTTGTCTGAAAGTCTTGCAGATGCAATTATGTAATCCACATACTATATATATAAGTATGGGAAGTATGGGAGATGCTACGGTCCCGTTACGCAACCATTCCGTCGGGGTTTGTAACTGTTAGATCAACTATCTCCGATGGTTATGTGATGATCTAACGATTACAAACCCCGATGGAATGATTCTGTAACGAGGCCGTAGCATTTCCCTATAAGTATATAACATTTGGATACACTGCATGAAGTGTGACAAAACAATGTGCCTAACAAAGTCTTTTTGACTTCACCATGCAAAAAGGTGTCTCCTTTAGCTAATAAATGAATTGAAAGCCAAAAATAAAGCTTTTGCACTTTGTTAAGCAAGCCACTTTTTCTTTTTTCTAGATTCTTTGGTTCATGAGATGAAAAAAGGGTGCTTAGGTCCCTCTCTTTTCCTTATCCCATGCATCATCTTTCTTCACTTCTCTATTTTTTCTTCTTTTCCTTTTCAATTTAATGTCCTCCCATTTTTTTTTTCTGGAACACACTGTGTTCAGTTTAGGGACACACACTATATGTATGTGTGTGTGTGTGTGTATGTGTTCAATTTTCATTATTGTGGAGTTTTTCTTTTTTTAATAATTATTAAATTAGAGAGAAATTAAAATGTATTTTTAGCTAGCTTCAAACATGAGGAACTTTTTTCAACTTAAAAGGCAAATCACATAAAGTGAAGAAAAAGAAAAAGAGAAACTTTAAAGAAACAATGAAACAAAGAAATGAAAAATTAAGATCAATTGGATGTTATAACATGTGGAAGCATATCACTTGGATGTCATAAATTGACAACTACAAATTTGATAAAAACAGCACAGACAAATAACTCTCTTTTTTTATTATTATTATTTTCTTTTTTATTTTTTTTTGCCTTTTCATGCATGCCACTGTATATATATAGTTCTAATATTTGTTTGAAGCTTATATACACCAATTTCTTATATGTAGACATGGCCACGGGCCTACCCGGCCCGTCCGCCCGACCCAGGATTTCGCCGGTTCGTTGAACCGGAACCCTGGTCATTTGGGCAGGTTTCAGTTCTTAGTTTTTTATTTTCATGACGGGCACTTGTATTCATTTACGGGCCGAGAAGGCTCGGAACCGGCAAAAAACCGACGGGTCAGTGACCCGGCGGTTCAGGGCCGGTTCAATGGACCAGCCCATATAAATTCCCGGGCCGATTAAGGGCCATCAATCCGAGGCCCGCCGACCCGGCGGGTAGGGCCGGGCCGGGCCGCGGCCCGTGAAATGGCGACGTCTACTTGTATGTTCCAAGTTTTTATGTGGGGTCCTAAATAAATTGTCCTTTATATGGTAAATCAAGGTTCAAGAAGCCAACACATGGGACACATGATATTTACCCAACAAACTTCTTTGCTACAAAACTATTGATTGACTGACTGAAAAACTGTAAAAATTATCATGATTCTTTTGCACATGCATATGTCATTTTGAAACTTGTGACCAAATTTCTTTGAGAATCTCCATGATTTTATTTGTAAGAAGTAGGGCCAAGCTCTATATAAGAAGATCATATGTGTGATGAAAAATATTTATAGTTACTTTTTCTTGAAGATAAGAGGTGAACATATATGATATAGGATAATATATGTTGTCCTCTTTTGCTTCTTATGTTTTTTAAATCATTGGTTTAATCTAAAATTGGGCTTCTTCTTGTATCCATTTTCCCTACTAAAATTGCTCACAATCTCATTATTAGTTATTATCCCTCCTACTATTCTTAGAATTATTATTAGTAGCAGTAGTATTAGTAGTCGTCTGATTTATCGTGTTTTTGTATAACACGAAAAATTGCCATCTGCCCGAAGTTACTGAGTATAATGTACAATTTTCTTGAGAATATAATTATTATTGTCAATGTTTGCACCTTAAGTTATGGAAAGCTACTATGCAAAATTGCAAAGCAAATTGATAAATGACACTGATATATACAGCAGAAATTCTTATAACTAAGCACCATCTCAATTATATAATGCCAAGCAAGATCACTTTATTTTTCACACACAGCCTCAAAATTCAAACCTACTCACAAAATAATGGAGCTAAGGATGAAAAAAGCAATGGGGGGGTTGTCTTTTTTGATGCACCAAAAATTTGAAATATAATTTTGTTTATTTATTCTTTGGTCCTCCTTTTTGTCAGAATTCTTATCCACCCATGTTGAACTTTTGCTCCTTCAAGTTTTTTGCCCACATGAGACGACCCATTGCCTTTGTTGGCCGATCTTCTCCACCTGATGAGGTGGAGGAGGTGGCCAATCCGCTTCCGCCACCTCAGCGTGGCGCGTGTTTTCGTGTGTTCCACGACACTCTTGGTCTTGTTGGCCTTGTCGGGGGTATTACGGTCATTTTCAAGACGACGGTTGATTTGATTTGGAAGTTTGGATACTTTGCCTTTGTCCCATGAGGCAACTCCATTATCTTCAAATCTGATTGATATGAAGGAGTCTGCATGAGGTGGGCAAATTTATATTTTGGGTTAAAAAATTATATTATCTTGAAAAAAAAAAAAATTCTTGAGTCTGACACAAATTCTTGTGTCTGACAGTCTAATCGTTAGGTAGATCAACAACCCGTCATACCATTTGAATAAAATAATGCACTCATACTATCAATTGTCACACTTCTATTTATGTTATTTCATAAATTATATATATGGCATTTTCTAATTAAATTATACATATGTATTTGTAAAAAGAGTATTAGGTTATTAAGGCACAAATACACACTGTCCCATTAGATTCTGTGAGCAATCAAATGCTTATTAAGGCAGATTTTGGAATCATTCACATGTGTACACTGAACAATCAAAATCATGATTAATAATTAGATTTTGTCACTGAATTACTATTAATCTAAAGTACAGTGTGACATAATCATATGAGCATCCAATATATATTAGTTGACATAATCCAAGATTAGTTGAAACTAATCAACCCTAATCCAATAATATTCCTAATTAACAGTGAATTTATTTATATATTCACATGCAGATGACAATTTTATAAGGTCAAGATTACACATGTGAGCATCCATTAGGATAATATTATTACAAATTGTAGCCCTTTTAAGTGTATCTTAATGCCAATATCATAAAATATGTCAAGTTAGATGACAAATTTTTATCATTGACTTATGCAATTACATATATACTACTCATTAACTAATAAATAACGAGTACAATATACCCAAGAATTATAAAATTCATGCAAATTAAACTATCACTAACTGCCAAAGAAAAAAGTTATAAAATATGACTACCTATCACGTGTTTGAGTATAATATTCCCAATTTGGTTAGTTTAGGGGCACAACTTACAAGTTTTCACTATCTTACCTACAAAATATGTCCATCAATCTTTCAAATTAACACTACAAATATACCATATTGTTTCTTTGTATATATCCAATTGGTTTAATTATAGTGAGCAAAAATGCTTTTTTAATCCTATTTGTTTAACGTCATAATAATTTTAGTCTCAAGGTTTCAAATTTTTGTATTTGGTCATCTGATTTAATATTTTGATGCAGTTTCAGTCATTCGAGGGCTGAAATTGCAATAAAATTTTAATTTATAAACTGAAATTGCAACAAAAAATTAAATTAAATGACTTAAATTACGAATAAAAAAATTTGTAAATTTGAGATTTTGTTGCAATTTCAGTCCCCAAATAACTGAACTTACAACATAAAATAAAATCAAAGGACAAAAGAGAGAAGTGTTGGAACTTTAGAGGACTAATATTGTTATGACATTAAACCAATAAAACTAAAAATGCAATATTTATTAGTTAGACCAAAACCCCAAGTTAGTTTGTGTGTGTGTGTGTGTGTGT